TGTCCTGGGCCAAGAATAACATCAGCTCAATGTCGGCAATTAGAATCAGGTCAGTCGGGCCTCACAGCCTGTGAAGCCCTCCTTGCAAACCCCTGCATGGAGGGCTACTCATGCTGATGTCACCAGCAATCAGTGGTGCCCAGGAAAGTCCCCCAACTCAGCTGAAAGAAAAGTTTTTAACCTTCAGGGGCAGGAAGCCAGTACGAGACGGAAGTGGGAAGCAATGGGGAAGACTAGAGAGGAGATACACACCAGGACACATCAACACAGCAAGGTCATCTTACCATCCCCAGACTAGCAAGATTCCGCAATTTCCCCAGCCATCCCGAACTCATTTTAAATCAATTAATGTATGGCAAGCACCTGGACTAGTGCTCAGACCACAGTAAGCGTTTGCTATTATTAAAACAAAGAGGGAGGAATCTGTCCCATTACTTATCTCTTGTCTACCATGAAACTTGAATCCTGGGAGCAGTGATTGCTGAGCACAGTGTGCCCTGATAAGAAGAATGAGCAAGGAGGTTTTCAAGTTTGGAAAACTTATTTACAAGGAGACGACAGTAGATGGAGTGAAAAAGATAGAAACAAAGTTCCTATAAAAAAAACGATGGCCTGAAATTTTATAAGGACAACATTAAGTTTTAACATGGTCAGTCTCCCTTCCAAAGGACAGAAAACAAATAACAAAGAGGAGACATTTCTAATGCCATTCCCTCTAGCTCAGTGGTTCGCAAACTGTGATCCCCAGAAGAGCAGCTTCAGCACCACCAGGAACCTTAGAAACGGTAATAACAGCCCCATCCCAAACCTACTGAATCAGAAATGGGATTGGGGAAGCAATCGGGGTTTCAACAGACCCTCCAAGGCGAAGTTCTGTTACTTAAAACCAGGGGTCTGCACACTAAGGCTCGCAGGCCAAATCCAGTCTGCCGCCTGTTTTTGTAAATAAAGTTTTATTGGAAAAGAGCCACACTCATTCATTTTCATATTGTTTAAGGCTGTTTTCATTCTACCATGACAGAGTTGAATAGTTGCCACAGGGACTCTATGGCCTAGCCTGCAAGGTCTAAAATATCACTATATGGCCATTTATAGAAAAAGTTTGCCAACCCCTACTCTGACTTAGAACAGTGTCTTTTTAAAATTATTATTATTAAATTGCTGGCTTACTCACCAGTGTGTAAAGATCATAGTTTCAATTTTGTCTTATTTTGTTCATCACGCTATCTATCAAATGGAGTGGATGGCACCTATTTCTTTGTACCTCTGTCCCTGGAAACCTTTGCTAGTGGCTCTGGGTGGCTTTCCTCTTCCATGCGCATGTTACAGGACCAGTCATTAGTAGGGAGATTCAGCATATGACAATTTCTAGATTTATGAGTGAAATGCTAGACAGAGATGAAGAGCAAAGCTTACTCCACATGAATGGTTAGAGATGCCGACTTTCAAACTCATATCCCGAATCAAAGTTTGCCTTCTCAGAATGAATACCCTCAATAAGCTGGCTAAGTGCAGAAAAACAGAACTTCCTCTGCATGAAATGCAAGGAAGGCTGTGTGATCTTTCCCAAAACATTTTTAGGAGATGACTCTGAAAGGCAGTGTCCATGTAGATAATTAATATAGTATGATATGATATAATATGAAATAATATATATAATATAAGATATAAAACTCCCTTTAATGTCCTGTTCCATAAACAGGTCTCTATTGTAGATGAATGCTAGATAAATCTGATTTCAATTCTACCCACTGCTCTTAAACAGGCAATTAAGCAAATGGTTAGCTATCTACACTTAAGTAAACTGAATCTAAAGCATAAGAAGTTCTTAAGAAAACATAAGAAACCGTCTCTGTTCCAAAAGGTTCTTATCTGGAAAATATGGAATGTAGTATCTCATTTTGATGATCACATTGTTTTCTGTCAGGTAGAAATTTCCTCATTGAGAAAATCTTTGGGATAGTGGAGGCATTTAAGCCAGTTTGCATTTTCACAATTGCAGATATACGTGTATATCTTCGATATACATATATATATATATATATATATTTTTTTTTTAGAAATTTTATTGGGAAACAGTGTGTGTTTCCAGGACCCATCAGCTCCAAGTCAGGTCATTATCTTCAATCTAGATGTGGAGGGTGTAGCTCCTTGGCCCATGTGGGGATCAAACCGGCAACCTTGGTGTTATGAACCTGCGCTCTAACCACCTGAGCTAACCAGCCACCCTGATATTTTTTAAATCTCTGCAAATTTTTAAAAACTCTTTAACTTCTAAACCTAAGGACAGAAATACAGGCCATACTGAGATTGCAAACCATGCCTCAATCAATCATTTCGTTGTAATTATAATGGTCAGATACAGCTAAAAATAGAGACTTACAAATCTCATAGGGCTTTGCTCCTTTTGTGGAGTGATTCTTTTTTTTTTTTAAGATTTTATTGGGGGAATTGGGGAAGGGGAACAGATAAGTTGCTGTCCTTTTGTTCTTCAGTTTAGTTGTGGAGGACGCCGCTTCACAGGCCCATGTTGGTATTATCATTGCGCTCTTCCCGGGTGAGGGAGTCCCTCACCGGCCATTGGACGGCGGCTCACGGCAGCTCACAAAAGCTCACTTCTGCTGCCAGCCAGCCCCACTGCAGCCTATCCCATCACCAGCGATTCATAGTAGCACAGCTCCAGGTGGAGCTGTTGTTCATCATCTTAGCTGTAGAGGGCGCAGAGTCACTGGCCCTCATGTGGGATCCAAACCAGGGCTCTGCTGTTCAGAGCTGGCGTCCCAAGCCAACACCTAATCAACGTGCCACTCGGCAGGCCCTTGTGGAGTGATTGTTAATGTCCCCTGAAATAAAGTACCCTAAGTTACTAAATATTCTTAATGTTAGAACATATAATATCTCATTTGCTATTTTATTAATTATAAACTCTTCAAGCTAATAAAATTTACTTTTTTAGCTCTCCCCACAGTCCCAGAACTTCACACTCTTATTCATTTTTTACCTAAATAAAATTGTGGAATAGAAGAACAGGGAGAATAAACAAAGTGATGTTATAAACATATACACAAAATTGTGATGAATGATTTTCTGTTCCTTCTCCAGGAGACAGGAGATAACACTCCCTTCTTGGGAGTTCTGGCTCCTCCCTAAGACAGATATTCTGACAGATTCTAAAAAACATTTTCCATATACTTCATAGTTCAGTGAAACTAAACCAGTATAATCCTCAGTGAAAAAAGAAATCCACACAAGAACAGCAGTACTCTGAATTTTCAGAGGAATGTGAGTTGCTGGAAGCTAATCAAAAGAATGAGAAGGACTTACACACGAAGCAGTTTCTAAAAGTGAAAATCAGCGAAACTGTCTCTCCTTCCTCAAAACTTCAATGTCCTGCAAGCACCTCTTTAAAAAAAAAACAAAATCATCCACCATTTCAAGGTATGGAAGCATTAAAAATTAATTAGAAGATCAACTGTCTAGATATGTTAGAGCCATAAATTATATGAGAAATAAGGCTATATGTGATACCTCCAGTATCCACCATCTGATCAAGCTGGCATTCTCAAGTACTCTGCATGACGGGGAGGTTTAGCAGTTAGAGAATTTTTTAAAATCTACACAAATTAAAGAAAGCAAAGATATATTTATATCTGCAATTGTGAAAATGCAAACTGGCTTAAATGCCTCCACTATCCCAAAGGCTTTCTACATGAGGCCATTTTTACCTGACAGAAGGCAGTGTCAGGACCAAAATGAGATGCCGCATTCCATATTTTCCAGATAAGAAGTCTAGATATTTCTCCAGTAAACACAACCTAATGAACTACCTCACAAATGCTTGTACTTAAAATTTCTCAATTACAGTGAATTAATATACAGAGTACACTATCACGGATGATCAAGTGATGAATGACACTGAAATAATAAAATATGTCTGAGCCTGGACAGTAGATGAAAAGATAAGTAAAGATAGAGAGCATAATGATAATTGTTTTATTTAGAAGAAAATAAAACTTTGGAAAATGCTGCCTCAGCCTTTGAGTGAATATTAATGTTGTACAAACTAATGCACACTACATACTACATTTTTATAAGAAAGCGCAAACAATAAGCTCAAACTGATATAAGACATTTCTTCATATAACCAAATATCAGAGAAGCTCATAGAATTGATACTGATTCAGCCCAATAGAACATGTAGAACATCGTAACTGATTCTAATAGGAATTCTGAATCTTCAAGAAAAATTTAACTCGTTATGGCCTGACTTTTTGGTGAAGTCACCCATTCTCTGTAATTGGGGCCATACTGATAGGCTAGTGCAATATACTTACATAGCTCCCCCAGACATATACTCAAGAGTTTCTGTCATTCTATAGACAGTGGGTAGGGAACCGATATTTCACTAGAGCATAAGCTTCATGACAGCAAGGATTTTTTAGTATATTGTTCCATTTTTATATACACTGTTTTGTGTATAAATGATCAAACCGGAAGAGCAACAAACTAACTTATGACACTTTCCTACAAGAAGAACTTGACAGTGATTTATTCCTTGAAAACCTTGATAGATCATGAAGGATTCATATGTGCTTATGTATACCAAGTCTATGCAGGCGGGGTCACAGTCCATTTAGAAAAGAATTCTTTAAAATACTAGCTTTTAGGCATCTGGGAATCGGACCCTCTGGGAGGGTCTCACTGAGCATACAACAGAAAGAGTAGACATTACAATTGAGACTTTTGTGGAGAAACATTCAAACGAAAGAATGTCAAAACTGGTCCAGCATCACCTTCCAGCAAAGCCAATGTGATGGCTTCCAGGACATTTCTTCCCTAAGAGTAGATTCCTCACGAACCATCCAAGCTATGGTGGTTTTGGTACACTTTTGGGAAACTGTTCCTACATTTCCCATTGACATTATTATTATTATTATCATCATTATTACTACCAACAGAAGGAAGATGGCAGCACATGGAAAAGTCCTGTCTTGATTTACCTGGTGCCGGGCTCGACTCTGGTCCAGGAGCTGCCGGGACTGAAGCTTCTGTTGTTCAAGCTGCTGCAGGGCAAAATGGAGCTGATAGCTGCCTGCCGTGGGGTGGTACTTGTGCTGGGGGATGACCCCGGTAGCCTTGCTGTACGCGTTGTTCTCCACCTCTCCCTCCCAGGCAAAGGCACCTGTTTGGAGGCTCCTGAGAAAAGAAAGCAGGTTTCTTAAGAGTAGTTGTGTGCCAAAAGGAAAGCGGGGAAACAAACTGAGGTATTTTTCCTTTGTAGAACTAAACACAGCTTGGAATTACAAATCTATTTGTGTGATAAATTACCCGACTTGCCCACTGAACTGTAGCTCCGTGAACACAAAGACAGGGTCTGTTCTACTCTCCATTCTAATCGAAGCAGTTATAAGGCCTGGTCCATGACTGATGCTCAATACCTATCTGTTGAGTGTGAAATAATTAAAACAGCAATTTCACTTCCTGGGATTGCCACACGGACCTCCAGGAGGAGCTTCAAAGGCAGGATGGCAGGTTCATTGAAGGAAGGAACACAGGCACAATAACTGTTCTAGCATTAACTTCGAAAGCACGGGGCTGAAATACACAGAATTCTTGTTGGTTTTTTTAAACCACCCAATGGTGAATTGAGTCTTTTTAAGACGTGTTTATTTATATTGAGCTTATATTCCCATCATGGGATGACATAACTGGTGTGAGAAGATACTTTTTTCATAATTCTAAATTTACTTCAGCAGTGTGTCGGCCAGGCTAACATTTAGCCTGAACGCATGAGACAGGTAAGGGGACTGTGGTGTTTTGGATTGTTTAGTATCTATGCTATGCTACTTGCTAAATTTACTCTCTTCCTTATCCAGATTCTAAAATTTTAGAGTCTGGTGCCTTGTCTGTATACATATGAGTCAAAGTCTTCATAACTACAGATTCCTACATGTCCCCTCTGAGTCCATTTCTTCCAGGTAAAAAAGTCCCCATTTATACCACTTCCCACCCATTCGGATGGCTATTATTAAAAACAAAACAAATGGACAATAAAAAGTGCCGGCAAACGTGGAAAAACGGGAGCTCTCGTGCAGCTGGTGGGAGTGTGAAACGGTATGACTGCTGTGGAAAACACTCGTGGTTCCTCAGGAAACTAAAGCCAAAAATACTGTCTGATCCATCAATTCTACTCCTAAATATATACCCAAAACTGTACACCAATGTTCATAGCAGCATTATTCATAATAGCCAACTAACCATGAACAGATGAATGGGTAAACAAAATGTGATATACATCCAATGGAGTATTATTCAGCTTTGAAAGGGAAGGAATTTCTGACACATGCTACAACGTGGATAACTCTGAAGACGTTATGCTGAGTGAAATAAGCCAGTTACAAAGCGACAAATATTATATGATTTCACTTATATGAGGTACCTACACTAGTCAAATTGATAAAGAGATAAAGTAGAATGGTGGTTACCTGGGGCTGGGGAGGCAGGGGGAAGGGGAGTTAGTGTTTAACGTGTACTGAATTTTAGTTTGGGGTGATGAGAAAGTTCTGGAGATAGTTGGTGGTGATGGTTGCACAATACTATGAATATACAAATGCCAATGAATTGCATGCTTATGAATGGTAAATTTTATGTCATGTATAATTTACAACAATTTTTTTAAAAAGGTCCCCATATATTTCAGAACAGTCTTATTTGGCAGTCAGTCCATCTCCTTCACACTTATAGTTACTCTCCGAACCTTCTTTAATTAACCTGTAGTTTTCTTTTTCCTTTTTAAGGTCCAGTGACCAGAAAATTGTACATAGAAGAAACATTAAGAATTTCATAGTGAACAACTTTACCCCAAACCCTGGTTAATAGGGCTTAGAGAAATAAAACGTGCCTGATTTAAGAGAATCGTGGATCGTGACTTAAATCATTGTGTTATTCTTTCCTTTGTAAATGTCCTTAGGTTTTAGTGGCTACTTCAGTGGCTGCACAGGGGGGATGAGGACCTTCCCGAGTCCCAACCAACAGGCCACCTGGTGATTTACAGCCTGGGTCCTAATGACCCCAACAGAGACCGTGGGAGGGAGCAAAGTGGAATGTCTACTGAGCCCTCACGTCTGTTCTCCTTTCTTGACCTCTCTCATATCTTGGTCATTTCAGGTCTCTGCTTTAGTTTCCCTGCCTCTCTCAAAGAGATTTCCAAATAGCTAGTAAAGGGAGTCTGCATAATGTATTCTGAAGTCCACGGATGAAAGGTTTTCTACCCACATAATCTCACCTCTTACGTGTCACATGCCTTGCTCATCTGTTCCCACAGTTTGGCTCCCACAGTTCAGCCGCATGATTACTCACTTTTAGCTAATCTTCTCGGAGAACAGTACCAAAAAGCTGAGAGCTTATTTATTATTTTTTTTTAGTATGACAATTGATCTTCAGTGATCCTCTTTGAAATGCTGCAATGTGCATACTGTTATACAATTAAAAAGACACGATCTTTCCCCAGGGGCTTCCGGAGGCATGGAGAAATATGACCACCAATGATCGAATACAAGTAAGTACCTCAATAAATGAATAAAATGTTCACATTATTTACAAAGTGAAATGTTGAGTGGGAGTCAACAGGAGTTACAGGTTTAGGAAAGGAGGGGTCAGAGGAATCTGTTATCTCTTTTCTCATTAGTGAGGGAAGAGATAAGCTTACCGGGAAAACACACAAAAAATAGCTAGGGGAACCGAGTGAGCCCTGAGTGGAACGAGGGGCAATGGAGAATGGATACTGCCAGTAGATAAATGAAGAGAAGGTTCAAGGCAGGAGTGGGCCCATCCAATGCAATGGGAAGAGACAGACACTGGCTGAATAACCTTGAGGTTTCTATACCAATTAGAGCAAGTATTTGAATCTAGAATAAAACTACTGTTTATGATAACTGGAACAAAGGTCAGAAAATTCATCAGTTGTGATTCTATTTCCACTCCTGGTTTGCTGATGATGGGCGAAGTTTCTTGCCACAAGTAACAATCCAGACTCAGGGATTAGATATTAAAGGATTTATGTAACCATGTAGTTTATATCAGAATTCATCTCACTGGCTAGTTAGATTGGTTTTATTTCTAAAAGCTGCTTTAATAACCAATATTCCTACGAGGCATTTAATCTAATGTCTTGTATATCAGGCATCGGAGTTTGTTCCGAGGCGCCCTTATTTGGAGATGTCCAGGGACAGATTCTCAGGTGTACGTACACAAAACAGGAGTCTGTGGATAGAAGGGGTAGGACAGTGTGCACAAGTAGATCAATAAGGGACTTTGGATAAAAGGTTTATTCATCCAACTGCACACATATTGAACAGACTGCAATATCATAAACTTTTATAGTGAAAGCTGTTTTTAATCTCATCAGTCACATAGGCCCAAAATCCAAATCACAAAAGGAAGTTCCTCAAGCATGTAGAGGCTTTTAGCAGAGGCAGGAATTTTTATAGTGCAGCACTGGGAGGGGGCAGGAGTGCTCAGCTGTGGAAGGCAATGTGGTTAAGTGCCATGAGAAACTTACTTGCTTTGAATTACACTAGGTGCTACTTGGGCTATGGCAGCTCACAATTAAAGCGCAAGCCTTTGGAGTTTGCATATGCAAATGCTCTAGTGGCTGACACAGGTACACTCTCAGCTGGGCTTTGTCTGAGATTATATATCTACACATTCCTTTCTATGGCATCTAATAGTTTCCATTTCCACCCAAAATTCCATCCCACTTTCTTGAGCCTGGATTCATTCTAATTTATTAGTCATACATTTTGTACTCCCACCAAAACTTTGAGATTCATTATTCTTCTAAAATTTAGTGTCTGTTCTTTTCTTCTTTTAGTATTTCTTTGTTCAATCCTAAAATATAATATTGCACATATTCCCTGTAAATAACTTCTAATAGTTTTATTAGGTTGTCGGAAAAGTCATGACGTATTTTTTCTATGTTTTTCGTTGCAAAAATGCGTCATGACTTTTCCGACAACCCAATATATTATTTCTAGAAAAGAGTATATAGGGCCAAGAAAGCTAGCTGTGGGAATGCTTAGAATGTTTAACATTTGATTGAAATTCCAAGATTCCAAGTGAACTGTGCTGGATTTCACCCTTACTACATAAGTGGCTAATAGGCAGCACTGTGGCACGTTTATCTGAATACCACATTCTCATTAGCGCATTCATTTTGAATTTCATCTTACTTCCTACGTTACACTGTGGCATTGCAGGACTAAACGTTTCTTGCCATAACTGCCTTCCTGCAGAACACCTCCAACCAATACACACCAAAGGGCTACGCTTTCCCCTTTGCTTTAATATCTGCTCCATCCAAGGGATGTTGGTTCTAAGGAACTTGGAGGCAATGTGTAAAATGCACTGGTCTTTAGCAAAGCAAAATCTCAGCAGGCTGTTGCACTCTCCAGAAACATATGCTTTCAGTGTCAAGATATGCCGAGAATGAGAGGATGTGACAAGAGTGACGAGTAGGGATGAGGCAGAGGAATGTGTCAGCTGCATACAGAGTAGGATGCCGCAGTCCACGTCCCTAGCCTCCTCCACCCAATTGCAGGAAAACCTGAGCCACCGTGTACAGGGACACCCCTGCCTCTCTAGTGGGTGTTGGGGAGTATGTGGGTGTGCTTTCAATTGCCATAAAAATGGGGTGGGGGATTCCTGACATTTAACAGGTGGAGGTCAAGGATGCTAAATACAGGAGAGTCCTGTACTAGGAAAACGTGCTGCTCAAAATGCCACTGATGCTTCTAATGAAAAGGACCTCAAGGCCATGAAGGAAGTCCTTTCTGGGGAGAATCTTATAAGAAAGAATATCCACCCATTTCCAAGGCACTTTATGGAATGTGTCGATATTTAAGGACAACAGAGGCTACATCTTATTTGTCTATAAATTCCCAATCTCAAACAAAGCAGCTGTGGTACATGGTAAGCGCTGCAAAGGTGCTGTCAATGCTGAAAATCCTGGATGACAGAAGGGCCCCCACAAGCCCCAAGCAGTGCTGGGCAGGATAAGGAAGCTAAGTGATGGGAGAGGCATTACATACTGTGGTGGGGACCTCCCTTGGCTTAAGGGGGGAGGTATTTCCTTGGCTTTGGGGGTATTAATAAATAATTCTGAAACCGTCAACTAACAAGTCGTAAGGCTGGCTGTT